GAGGCTTCAAGTATCCACCTTGTAGATACTTCTGTAGGTTCGTATTCATCACCAGAAAAAACAGTTTCTAGGGACTGCCCCCAGCTTGTGCAGGTCTGTGGGACGGGAAGCTCTTTATCTCGTCCGTTCAACTGGGGTCTCTTGCTGAGACCACCCAGTGCTGTCTACCACCAGCCCCCCCCAGTCCCGCTCCTCTCCCCGCAGACGTCACGGTAACACCCTCCGAAGCCGCACGACCCTTCGGACGCCCACAGGCAGGGAGCGAGGGTTTACACCATGCATGCTACACGGAGTATGGATGGGGAAGGAGGGGAGGAGTGAAGAAATGGCAGCACCAAGCCATGAATGGCCACACAAAATGGAAAGAAGCGGAGGAAGCGCAGCAGGATCCCTCGCAAGCCCCCACTCCCACTGCTGCAGGGAAATCTGCGAGCGAGGGGTAACCGGGCACCCCCGGCTCTGCCAGGCTCAGGGGCACGCAGGCAGCTGACGGCACGGAGTCACCCGCACCAGAGAAACCAGCTGGAAACAGCATTTACCAAAAGCAAAACTAGATTCTGCCAGCTCAGGTATGAGCTGTCTGGTTCTACACACGTAAAAAATCACTTGTTTCACTTTGCTAAAAAAACTGAACTTGTTCAGCTCTTCCAAGGTTCAAGGTTTTGCACAACACCGCTTGGGGTACTGCACTTCTGGTGAGAACCCACGCGTTCGTCTGACAGCGCAAAGCGACGAGGAGCAGCCAATGCAATTTAGAAATGGTTGGTGACTGGAAACAAGTCCTTGCTACTGGAAAGCCGGCGATCAGCAAGAGCGGCGCCAGTTCTCGCCACCACCGCCCGTCACAAAGCTGCTCAGATGGCAGACTCCTATGGATTTTCAAGATTAAGGAAAAATTCATCCTGCAGGGCAATGAATCCACGCTTCAGCTAACACAAAAGAATTACAGAAGTGCTAGAATTTGTACCGTACGCTGTGACGAGCGAGATGACTCCAGAGCGAAAAAGCCCCTTTCTGAAGGAAAAATTCAGCGCATGCCAAAGAAAACAACGGGGAACTTCAGGCTGAGCTCTGGCGCACCTTGGAGCTCACAGGGACGTGACTCGGATACCTGTCGGCTCTTCCCCTGCCACGCGCTCAAGGCAGACACAGAACTGGGTGTCCCTCAACTAGAAATCATCTGCAATCCTCTAACGAACTCAGGAACACAGAGGTCTAGCACGAAGAGGACCGACTACACTCCTGCGTCTCAGAACGAGAGCAGGAGGTCTGTGATCTGCTTTTCCGACTGGCTGTGAGCTCGGTGTTGGGAAAAGCTGTCGGCACTGCAGAGTCTGAGACCGGCCCACCACGGAGCTGGAGGTTACAGTCCGAGTACTTGCACAACGCAGGGTAAGCAGGTGGGTCTGGGGGGCTTTTCACACTGACAGAAGCACACAGATCTTTTAAGATGGTTAAATAAGCATCATCTTCTGTAAATAGCGCGATTGCATTCAGATTAATGGTGTGAAAAAACAGCAGGGAGGCAGACAAATTAAAAATAAAAGAAAGAAAAGACCCTCCAAGAGAGCCTGACCACGCGTTAAGCCGTTAAGCTTTGGCTCGTTTGTCCAGGAGGGAGTTCACTGTCAGCATCACCTCCTACTTACTGAATGCAGAAGCCTTCTCCCAGGGGGAGAGTCTTGTTTTGCTCCACGGAGTAAGGAGGCCTTTCTACTCTCCCTGAAGATAACTAGGAAAGGTTGAAGCTACCAAGTAAAATTCCGAAAGCTTCCCAGGCCCTTGATGCCAATGAACTTCCGTCTCAGTATTTCTAGGGATTAGTAGCCTCAAGCTTTCAGCACGTCGGGAGTTAAAAGATTAAGATCACATTTCCTGGACCAGCGTCACAGCCAGGGACGAATTCAGGGCAGCAGCTGGGCTACCTGAGCACCTCCATGTATGCAACAAGCTCTGGAAAGTGAAGTGGTGCCTAATCATACAGTTCATAAAGTGATTTTATCTGATACTCAGCATAAGAAGAAACTGAAAGTGATAGAAGGAAACAAAAGCATTCCCTCTGCGTGAATAACAAGACCGTAGATGCACGGGAACTCTCTTACTGAAGAGGTCTCTGGGAGCAGCCAGTCCATAAACGCAAGAAGTCTGTGCCCAGGAGCATCGTGGCAAGAACGACGGTTCGGGAAGGAGGAAGAGTGGAAAGAGGGATGACAACAGCAAATATTTTCGCTCTAAGTGACTAATTCCAAAGGCCTGCTTTGATGTGGAAAGTGCACTTGGCTACGCAGAGTTATCCACGAGCTCCCTAAACCGGGGAGGACTGGCCAGGGACACAGACAGACCCTAGCAGCGGCAGCAGGAGGACAAAGCGGAGAGCATGAGGTGATGCAAGAATACAGTAAGAGACCACAGCCAAAAAAAAGGCACCAAAATGTACCGATCTTTGAAGAAGACGGGCGTCACTGAAGAGCAGCGGGGTTAGCACAGTGATGGATTTAGTGAAAGAGGGAGAACGGAGGACTACTTGGCTGCAACGACAGCCCGAGATGTAGTAAAAGCAGTGTTCAGTACAAGCCATTTTCAGGACTCGCCAGCAACCAAAAACAATCTCAGAAAGGAAAGAGTATTTTGAAAGTACTTCACCTACAGTTTTGCTTTATAAGTGGAAAGACTTGGCAAAAGTTAAATACCAAAACCCCACAACCATTTCAATTTAAGCAGTGCACACAGTACAGAAATCAGAACTACTCCAATTCATTAATAAAGCATGGGCTGATAGAGCATGCAAGAAACCAGCCCTGTCTGAAGCCTGCTCAACAAAAAGATGTTTCAAGTAAAGCTCAGGTAAGTGGCCTGAAAAACTCAAGCGGTGTTTACAGATTGCTGTAAATCAGGAAGATGGTATCTAGATATCCAAGTACCTACCAACAGCAAGTGGAGGGAGCGCAGGTCTTTGGTGTAGTGAAAAAGGTTCCGCAGCATGTCTTGCACAGTTTTATCCTCTGAGAGATGCTGAAAAAAAAAAAGTGATATTTTAATCATCTCAGCAAATCATTTCACACTCACCTGAAAAAACACCAGTTAGCTAACTTTCCCAAAGAGCTCGGCTTGTGCTTCACAATGCAACTCTTCGTGAATAACCTTCGCTTTCTGGTCTTTTTTGTGACACTTCTAGTTTTATCTCCAGCCTTCAATAAGCAAAGATTCTCTATTGCAATTTGATTTATTCCATATCAAACTCAAATAATGAAAGGAAATACTGATCTTAGGTGAAGGCTTTACACTTCCAAGCTGGTCTTACTTTAGAAGTTTTACTAGAACCAAGTATAAAGATCTCTAAATACCTGAACATTATTATTCCATTTTTGTGCAAAAGACTCATCAGGAAATTCAGCAGGCAGAGAAAGCTGTTTCTTGAATATCTTAATGTATTGTTTGAAATCAAAGGAATTCATCAGATATATCTGTCGGTGAGAGAACCTTGATTTTACCCTCTTCTCCAAGAGCTCCAGGATATCCTTGTTAAAAAAAGCAAAAATATTAATTAAAAAAAGCAGATGCATGTAGTGCATTCGTTGTTACAGTAAAAACTACAAGAGAAAACACCAAAGTAAATTGTGTTGGGAAAAAAAAAAGGAATTATTAAATTCTCAGGCTTAAAATGTTCTAACAAGACCTTTGCTAATTATGCTAATTGATGTGCCTTGAAATGCCTAACAACTAGCCATTTACCCAAATCACGTGATGCGCTGCGTCACACAGGGTAATTAGTTGCTAGGATACCCAGCAAAATTTCTCCATAGATTATGTAAATATTTCAGTTACTTAAGTCTGCATTCAAGATGTTTCAGCCTATCACGGCTCTAGACAAGTTGTCTGTTTAGTAGATACGTAGGCTGGCAGCTGTCACTTCACAGGCCGTTTGTCAGACAGAAAGATTCCAGCTTAACAAAAAAAAAAAAAGCCCAAAAACTTCAGAGCCAATATTTCTCATCTAAGATTGCCACATGGAACTAAGCAAGCCTGCCATCAAGTTGTTGGTTGAAGGTAATAGAGAAAAGCTCTCTTGTCTCAGGACACACAGCCACGGGCTGGCATCGGAAACAAGCTGGGGATTCACCGGTTCAGAGAAACACAGCACCACTCCCCGCCCCTGCACTGGGACAGAACGACTGCACTCCCAGTTTCTGGGAATCCTGGGTGGGCCTTTTTGGTTTTTAAGGTTTGTTGCGTGTTGGGTTGGGTGGTTTTAGCTGTGGTAAAAAAAGGCTTTAAGAATACTGCAATTCCTCACCAAAAAGAGAGCAATAAGAGCAAACAGAGAGCCAACAGTGCCAAATATAAATACCCCTCTCGGTTTAGAAGTCACAGGCAGCAGGAACCAGTGATTTTACGAAAATAAGCAACAAGAGCTATCACCACAACCATGATACAGCCTCTGAAGGTTCTGCCTTAATTACGCTCAAAAGCAGAGCAGTATGAGATTCTAAATAATGGGTGATGACGATACCAGACTCGGGACAGCAATGAAGCAAAAGAAAAGATTGTAACTCACTAAACCAACGATTAACTATTCTATTAACTTCCAGAAATTTGCCCAGCTAAGTATCACCTAAACCCAATCAACACCAGATTCAGGCTTTGATCAAAGATTTTAATTCTTCTTCTTCTTGTCATAACCCAGCTATCTTCACCACCATTCCAGTCTGAGAAAAACAGTGTAGTTTTTATGAAGTATCAGCTTCCACAGTGTTACAAAGCAGTTAATTCACAGTCTACACACAATCTGTCTGCAGCTCCCTACAAGGTCTTTGTAAAAATCGCAGCAAGTTTAACATGGATACTAAATCCATTTTGAACATGATAATTTTATAGCAAAAGTGCCCTGCTGTAGTGTTTGCTTACAAAAAAATTCCTGGTCCTCAGGACAATGATTTAAACACTGCAGGTTAATACAAGTCTGTTCCTACCGACTGCTGACCAAGAAACCAAAATGCCCAGGAGTCTCTCCAAAGAGGGAACGACAGTATAACGTGAAACAGCCACAGAGATAAATACGGCTCTTCTGCAGTACTACAGGACAACAGTCTTGTGTCTCCTTAGAAGGGCAAACCTGCTCCTCTGGCAGTAAAACTGAAGGCTTTGCAGATTTTGGTCATCTAAGTTTGCTCCCAGCAAAAATTATTATTTTTTCTTACCCCCTCCACTCCCCTTCCCAATGCAAAAGTCAGACAAATGGATAATTGAGAAAAATCTCTTAGTAAATTAAATAAGGTTCCAGGCGAGGAGAAGAGCAAACGCTCCAACTAAGACAAAAGTCTCTGCAAACAGCTAAAAACTTTGAAGGCGAAAGCGCGATTTCTTACCTGCCTACATGTGAGTCCAATGACTGTCACTGGCGTCTGTGCTGACTGGGAGATATCAAAGAGATTGTAGAGCAGCGTCTGGTTCTTGTGATGAACAAACAAGTCGAATTCATCCAGTATAAACAGGACTGGACAACTGCTAGTTCGGTCTCCTGAGACAGCAGTTTTAAAACGTTAGTACGGTGACATCACCACCAGACTTCCATCTCTACAGCTTTCGCATTTTCCTATTTTAACAATTTATGTTTTTTCTTTTAGCTTTTCACCAAGCCCTCCTTTCACACATGTACTGCTACAAGAGTAAAAAGAAGAATAAGCTGAAAAATTGGTAAGGCTTGGCAATAGTCTGCCAAGCATCATTTCTGGGTGCAAGGGAAGACAGACTTCTATGGCAAATTTTTTAAAAAAAACCCGCTATTTTTAATAGCTTCAATCTGGATAACAGAATCTGTCCTTTGCATCTGCCCATCATGTGCAAGCCTTTAGGGCATCAGCCACACGTTGGGTATATGTTTGGTTAGCATTACGTATTTTTTACATTATTTTGTAACCATGACACATTCCTGGGCTAGATTTCTTCACACCACTTGTACAACTGGATGAAGAAACGTGCACGTGCTATGCTAACCTCTCAGCCAAGTGACAAACACAGACGCACACCCCCCCCATTCCAAAACAGGGGCTACCAGCGCTTACCTTTCCTTAAAGCTTCGAGGAGGAACGCAAGATTTTCAGCAAAACTGCCCTACGCAGAGAAGGAAAAAGTTTCACAATAGATTTTCAATGTCATTCTCAGAACTGTGTAATGACATCCAGTTCAGCCATGGAATGAAGCCCACTGCCTTCTAAAACCCTGCTTTCTAAACCAGTACACATTCGAAAACTCACAATGTTACTTCACATTGTATAATCATAACCTCTTCAGGACAAGAAAGCCAATAGTTACCCCTGCGTTGATCCACTTTCTCCCAGTCTGAAAACCCCAAACTAATTGCCCCAGGCAAAAACTAATGATCAGAAGCATGTCTGCAATAAGCTAAATTCACAAGTTACTTTCCCTTTCCTTAAATAGCTATTGCACACCCCTCTTCCATCTACACACATGCAAAACCTGCCACCTAACGTGTTCCACTGAGAATGATCAGTACGCAGAATTTTAATTTTCAACCTCGTTAGATAGCTGAAAGCACCCAACAGTCACGACAGAAAAACAATGAACTGCTATGACCTCTGAAGCCCACAAGTGGTGAGATGGGAGATAACTGTAACTGCAGACCACGAGCCCTACCACAGAAGGCAGAAAAGCCGATTTACGCTCTGAATGCGAGCTGCAGAAGCTAAGAAAGGAAAAGTTTCTACGGAAAGAAGGACGGACGCTCCCGCAAATCAGTATGTTTCCGTGCCTGCATGCAGCCGAAGGGGTTAGACAGCTAACAGTTTGAAGTAGTACTCCACAATAACTTAATGGGGAAAACAACAGGGGAATTAAGGACATCGAAGTCCAGTTTTGCCTCCAGCATTTCTGGTAGTGGAACTGTAGACCCTGAAAGGTTGTTCTAGTTCTCTGTTGAAAGGACAACTCCTTCAAATGGCCATGCTGAAGTTGAATACTTGCTATTTCCTTTTCTTACTGCAGCTGTATTGGGGAAAATTTTAGCTCACCATCAGAAAGGTTTTTCCATTCTCTGTGTCTAAAACCATTTGGGGTAAGTCAGAAACCAAAGCACAGGTTAAGAAGCAAGCATTTCCCAAAGATAATAAAGCCCAATAACTACAACCTACACTTCATCTTGTATTCCACACTGCCTCTTAACCTAGTTCTCTGCTTTCTCTCAACCAAACCAGTAACATCTTGTCTCGTTAGAAGCTTTCCCAATGCAGCTGATGAAAATAAACCTCGCCTATTGAGACGTCACCTTTCTCCCCTCTCGTAATTCCACTTTAGCCACTTGGATCAGTATCACGCACGACTCACAGCTATGCAAACTCTGCCGCTCTCAAAGGCGCTACCTGGGAGCAACGGAGGTGACGATGCTCAGGAGGACCTTCTGCCGTGCCAGAAGATGGCCTCTCAAGAACCCACTGAGCTACTGGCAGCAACCAGGGGAGCTCGGATCACCAGCCCAGCTTCTTTCACACTCCAGTGAGTGACATGTAATCTGAAGCACTACAGTTTTCTCTTTATTACTGACTTTAGTACTAACTTAAGCGAGTTTCCTATCTTTGGGAAAAGGCCAATAGAAGCAAATAGTTTAACAGAAATTCTATGCAAAATGAGAGCTCTAGGAAGCCTGGATAGATTTCCCTATGAACTAGAAAAGGTTTCAAATATCCTAAAGGTACTGCTTTTTGGCTGCTTAACTTGCTTACTCTGTCTCGAAATGTTAAAGTGGGTATTTCCAAAACGCTCTACTCCTCTGAATAAAGGCTCTTCGGAATGCTTAATGTTTGCTTCATTTGGAGGCTTGAAGTAAGTTTTAAGATAGCCTTTCCACTCTTCCTCCTTCTCAAAGTCACAGAATCACAGAATGGTACGGGTTGGAAGGGACCTCTGTGGGTCATCTAGTCCAAACCCCCTGCCCGAAGCAGGATCACCTACAGTAGGTTGTAGAGGACCTTGTCCAGGCGGGTGTTGAATATCTCCAGAGAAGGAGACTCCACAGCCTCCCTGGGCAGCCTGTTCCAGGGCTCCGTCACCCTCAGAGTGAAGAAATTCTTCCTCATGTTCAGACGGAACTTCCTGTGCTTCAGTTTGTGCCCACTGCCCCTTGTCCTGTCACTGGACACCACTGAAAGTCAAAGCTGATGCTTTCTGAAGAACTATCATGATGCACTACTACTGCTCAACTAGTCAAAAGTAACGTTCAGCAGCTGTGTGGAGCACAAGAATTTGCTGGCATGCTCGAAGTGTTTGTAAACCTGGGTCTTCACAGGTAAATGCTGCCACAGCTTACTACTGCTATCAATTATTCAATATTTCAAAAGAGAAAGCTTTGAGAAGGCTGAGCCAGCCCACCTCAATTTTGCTAATAAACTATCCAAGCCCATTCAGTTTCAACAAGATGCATTTATAAAGCTAGTTTGCTAGGCAAGGATTTTTGAGGGAGATAAGCAAAAAGTATAATACAGCTGAGTCGATACTTACAAAAACTTTATCCCCAACCACGTTTTCCAGGTGCAACTGTCTGGTGATCTCCTTCAGGGCCACTTTATCATTAGTCTGCAGAAGCCCTGAAAGAAAATGGTATTTCATGAAGAACTGGCAGTTGTCCTTCACAGCAAGAGGCGATGTCTACAGCCACCAGAAACTTATCCACAAGTTTCTCTCCACATCCAGCCTTACACAGCTATGCCTTGTTATAAGTAATTTTCCATATGTAATAAGAAGCAGCTTAAAACAATTCAGTCACAACTGAACTGATTTTTAACACTTTGAAAAGTCATTAAAGGCACAGCAGTTCTCTTTATGTACAGAGATACAATGAAAGGCATTCTGGAGCTCACAGACAAATATGTCCGTAATTGAGGCTAGATCACAACTGCCAAAACCACAATTTCTGTTCAGTACATACAATATATAGCAACTGAATCTACTATAAAGTTTGAATAACGCTGTATTACTTGCCATTCAGATGAACTTCCAAGAGGGTCTCTCTAACCTGTTTCATTTCCGTGAGCTCCTTTAGGACATGATTTAATAACTAGGAAAAGAAAATGCACAATTTCTTTAGAAGAAGATTAATGTATTAACAGTAAAAAAAGCGTACAAATGGATATTATCAGATAGGAAACAGTATGTGCAGTTTCATCACATAACAATGTTTTTGAGTATTTTCAAGACTAAAATACTAAAATGACAGCTTCACATTCAGGATCCTGACTGCAGCAATTACATTTGTTCATTCTGCTGCATTAGCAGCGAAAGAAAAACAAAAAAAAAAACTCCAGTACTTTAGTCGCTCATTTTGGGGGTAATATCTAGGGCTTTTGCCTTAATCAAAAAAAGCTTTGTGAGTTTGAGATGTGAGAGAATTTGTCTCTGGAGTTCGTACAGTATTCGGCTTCATTAGATGCTGTAGAACAAAAAACTTTGCTTTAAATCCATAAAGACACTATGCTTATTCATTTCCTCTTGAAGTTAGGAAGCATGAGACGAAATTAAATTGCACATAATTACACCAACTACCACTTATAAAACTTAGGGCTCCCAAATTTACAGTCCTTCAAGAACTACTTCTCGGCAAAAGCCAAAAGGAACTTGTATTAAGATACGTGTAAGTGGATGAAATGTTAACTCTTCATTCACTTGCTGCTTCTTTGCTTTTGCTTCCTTAGCTGAGAATCTGCAGCTCCCATCTATGTGTATGTATACATACATATATGCTTATATACACATACAATTTTCCTGTCTCCAGCAGTCTTTTAAGAGCTAACATCTTTCATTTGATATAGAATAAGAAAATTGTTCATTTTGCATATGTGATTTGCTTACTTCTATTCTGGCAGGAAGGATCACGAATTTTCATCTTCATTATCCTTACGTAAAAGGTTTGGAAGAAAATTTAATCCTTAATTAAACAATAAAAATCATTTGAGTTTCAGTGATTGGGGGGACACATTGTGTTTGAGGGATCGTTCTATTGTGGTTTTTAAAAAAAAAATTCACATTTGCTTCAATTTGCTTGCAGTATAGAGCTCATCTATACTTTTCCATTGATACAGTATTTAGAAGCAGATACAGTTACGCTCCTACTACAGGTGGCAACACTTACTATATGGATACGTGGAACAAAAAAAAGCTTATTCCCTTGGTGTCTCAAGCTTGTGCCCAATAGGCAGATGCCGTCCACTCCGGCTAGCGCCTTATCCAACAATCTCAACTGTGCCTTGAAAGTCTACATGGCAAATACAAGAAAATCTAAAAACTATTTTCTGCTCTATGAGAGTGCTTGTTGCTTGCTTACAAATCCATACATCTATGAAAGGAAAAAATAAACTCCAGCTGAAAATGAGCAGCAAGTACATAGGTGGAGGAATCCGTATTTGCCACTGGTTTATCAACTCTTTCACCACCCCATGGTATTTTGGTAATTATCCTTCTTCTGAAGTGTCACTGGTAACAGAAGGAGGTAACAGTACTGACTGGTTTTGAAATGCAAAACAAGAAAGCTGTCAACAAATTGGCAGAATGACTGGTGTCAGCTGTATCATGGATATGTTTACCATCTATTAATTTATTTCCATTTAACTGTATTTAAAAGCTTGAAGGCCACTTGCTTTAGCACTTGGAAAGATTTCCGAAGTTATTTATGTTGTTTTTCAGTCTGGAATATTTTCTGCAGTAACAGCCAACCTATTTATCACATTATATACTCATGTAAACATAAAAGACTTAAGTGTTTGCACAATAATTAATATGGAACACTTACGTGAGATGTCATCCCTTCACATGCCTCAATAAAAACAGATCCTCTAAAGTCTAAAACCTACACAGGTCAACTAGAACTACCACACACCTAGCATCTCAGGTAACGATGTTCTCCAACATGTTTAAAACAGGATTAAGATGCCTTCCCATTCTCTACATGCAAACTGCTGTGTAAAAATCCACCCCTTAGTCTACTCCTTTTATGGTTTTTGGATGCCTTTTCAGCCATTTTCACAGTAGAGGCCAAACAGCAATAGCAGGTTAACTTTTAAAGAGTAAGAAAAATGTGGCTTTAATTGCAAAGATGAACTCCTCTGTGGCAAGAGCCATTACAGAAGTGTAATAGGAGAAATGCTGAAAGAAGGCAGAATCTACGATGTAGTCAGATCACTGAACAACAAATGCAACTTGTTCTGATAAAATTATTTCTATTTTACATGTTTTGGGTACCTGCAGTGTGTAATGAGACCGGGTGCAGACACCCAAAGACTTCCAAAACCACGCACACTTCTGCACGTCACTGTGAGGACTGACAGGTACAGGTTTTTGTCAGCTGCTCATGAAGCTATTCTATTGAACAAAATCATCCGGAACTCAGCATTTGAAAAATCTCAAAAGATTGTTAGGAAACCAATTTCTCCATATTGAACACAATTAGCTCACAAGATATCCTCGAATGTTTTGAAACTCTATGTAAACAATTAGCAATTCTCTCTTCAAAAGCAGGCAGAGATGAAAATTTAGCTCCAAGAGCTCCCAGGGCTTCAGTGAGGTCATCCACCTCATGCTTAATTTGACCTTGTATAAACTTGTAATACACGTTTATACCGCAGTCTTTCCTGATCCTCGGGGTCCAATAATGAGGGCAGAATTGCTTTCTCCATGAACTGTAGTTCGTTTCAGCAGTTCCAGCAGATGCCTGTGTTGACAACAGCAATAGGTTAAAAACCTCAAACCAGACAACATTCACTGAAACTACGGAAAATTCGAAGAATCTTTAGAACATACGGGAAAACCTCATACATTTCAAGTTGCTCTCAGAGCCAACGCTCAGAGCATGCAAAATGTTATACAATAAAGTACAAAAGGCTGAGTGATCAGATCTCTTAAAATATTTTAAAATATTAAAACATGCAGAAGTCGGGATTATCCCTAATTCATGAAGTTCCACAATTCTTCACCATGAAAGGACAGAGTTCAGTAATTATTTCTTTCTTTAAAAAACGAAGATTTGCTATAGTGATACCAGTGTAGTTCACTAAAAAGGAGGACTGGCAAACATACTGAAGGAAAACCTTGACACTAGTAAAAATTAATCATCTAGTAGAATATATTCATTTTGACAATCTTCATAAAACTGATTATATGCTAAATTTAGGCATTCAAAGCTTGTGAACGCTAACAGCAATAGTGAACTTCAAGTTCACATCCTATCCCCACCCAAAAAAAGGAACAAAGAACAATTCTAAACTATCTTCAGATAGACTTACCACCTAGAACCACATTTAACGTACTTATAAAAACTACTGACACTTCCAACTCCCAAATGTTTACAAATGCATACATTTAATAAGCTTTTTTCGTTTGTTACGCAGAATATTGAGACCATGCAATCGCTTCTAAAGAAGCGATAGAGTCATCATGGAACCACCGTAGCAAATGCATGTAGTTTTGTTCACTATTTGAGAGCTCGCTATAGCCAAGATCTCTGACACAACTCGGGAAAGAAAAACTAAGAGCTGGGAAGTTCATCGTGTTTTCTCTCCCATGTAACTCACCGACATTAAATGGCACATTAGTTAGAAGACAGTCTGTAAACTGTTTTTCAGAATTCCAGTATGAAGAAGGGAGGCTTGTTTTGTAACATCATACATACACATTTTCTCACAACAACAAACACATCTATGTGAGCTCCGCATGTATATTTCACACCATGCTTTTTCAGTAACAGAAATGTTATTTTCCTTCCTGTAAGGGAAAGGAAACCAGCGCTCACATCAGGTAATTCAACTTGCCTAAAGCCACTCTTGGAAAATCAGATTGTTTAAACCAAGTTCTTCAGATACATGTTTGTTATTTTCACAATTTAGCCTGCATCTGTAAAAGGATTAGTATTAGGATAGTATTGTTGTCACAGTATGTCCCTTCTTCCTAACTTTAACCTCCACATCTGGATGACCCCAGGAAGTAAGTTTGTTTTAAACATGGGTCTCTACTTCAAGAAACCTGATGTTGGCATCCAAGGTTTAAGATTCAGTTTTAACACAGCTCACCAACAAACAGGAGAAAACCTGAAGTAAAAACAAAGATTCCCAACAAGAGAATTTAACTTTTTGCTTGGTCAGGTCACTAAACACAGCCTCAGAACATGCACTGAAGTATGTGCCAAGGCTCCAAAAAACAAAAAGCATTTCGGGAATTACAGATTCGAAACAGGGACAAGAAATCCAAAACTCGGAGCCCGACAAACCAGCAAGCAACATTTGTATAAAGCCTCTTAAAACATGAGGCAAGTGTTTTTTAGAAGCATTGTGCTGCATGGCATTTAAGCCTGTATAATTTAGAAAAACAGAGGTGGCAGAAAATTCTGACTTCACCCCATTATTTCTCTACTGTGGTTAAAGTAGAAATTACGTAGTATTTGAGCCTGCTCACTCACCTGTACTGATGTTCAATCCCAAACAGTTTTCCATTAGCATAATTGTGACAGAATCTTTCACGTAAAATTTTTTGCACCTACGGATATAACACAAGACAGAAAGAATGCTTGGTGTTTCAAACACGAGAATGTACCAACTGCATAACTGCTGCAATAAAAGAATAGTAAAATATGCTTGTTTGCATGGTGTTACAAATACTCTATAATATGCAAATTTTAACTGTCATCAGTGATATATGGGTCTTGAAAATAAGAATAAAGGTGCAGCAGGCAGAATATTTAACAGACTCTTTTGCAGCAGAAGAGAGAAAATTCAATTCAACGATAGCAACATCCGTCTTCGGTCCCTTCTGCTACATTTTCTTCCTTTCACCCCCACAGGGATGTTCTACTTGTCACCAAAATTACATCAGGAGTTCATCTAACTTACCGTGTAATACAGGCAAGAAAACGTTTACCAGCTGACTTAAATAAAAATTAACCCATTTAAGTTATTCCCCCAAATCCTGAGGACCAGACTTTTTGCACCACTCGCAACAACACTGCAGCCCAGCACCTTCCAACATTAGAACCTACCAAATATACAGTTTCTTTGAAGATTCAGCTAAATAATTCCATCCAACCAGATTTTTAGATCGAGTCCTGAATCCCTTCAAATAGCACCCTGAACGCAGCTATTTCAGCTACTAATTTGGAGGTTTTGCTTGGGATATCTTTAGATATATGTCTGCCCTGACTTCTGTTTTCTATGTTAAGCATTGTTACTTAAAATTGTATCTTCAACTCTCAAACAGCCAACCTTCAGCATCGTAGCAGATTTCTTCCTGCCACTGGCCTAGCAGCACACAAACTGGACATTCCCAATTTTTAAGAATTTACAGGACTCTGTACTACTACTTATCCCCATCCGTCACCTAAGCTATCCTAAAATACCCGCATACTCCATCCTTTTATAATGCTTGGTGTCCAGTTTAAGTCCTCATTGTCAAAGAATTTCAGAGATTAAACCGCAAACTGTGAAGGAAGTGATTTTCCTTTAAAGTCACATTTGAGCACCTTGCCTCTCAGTTTATGTGAACGTCCATTTGACCTAAAACCTAACTATATCATTACCACGCAGGCCTGGGTCACTGCTTTATCATTCTCTCAATCTGAGTCGGCTTGCCTTCCCCTCGTTTGTTTTTTCTCTACATTTTCTTCTGACACTTAGCTAATTTATAACTGAATTATCACCATCAGCCCTAGATGTTTGGTTTAAAAATAAAGACACGTAGATGCATCTTTGTGAAGTACTAAAGAATGGACAGAAGAACAACAGACATCTATTTTGCTAATAATTCCAGTTTACGAAGCAAATTCTTTTTCAATATGGGTTGTACCTGTCTACCTGATTTTTCAGTTATTTTTTTCTTCTACTAAAGTCTTGCTGATTTAATTTCCACATTTATTCTGGTTTAATGCACAGTCTACCTCTACAGTTAGCATTATCCATTCACAAGTGAAAATATTTTCCTCCTACAAAGGAATTTTATAGGTATATCAAGGAAAGACATTAAAATATACAAAATCACTGAAGCAGAAGCCATTCACTACAAGATGCATCACAGTTTTTAAGTAGCCACTTCGAGAAAACAGAAGAAAAAAGCTTTAAAAAAGAAAAAAAAGGCAAAACGAAAACCAACTTGGCAGCTGCTGTCCTGCCTAACCTAGGCTGTTAAAAAAGTCCCACAGATTCTGATTCACCCTATAAAATGGAAAAAAAAGAATCAAATTAAATAAAAATAGATTTATGCAAATCTGTTGGCACAAACGGCTGTAAAAGCACAAGACCATCCTTTACCATCTTCATTAAGACTCCAAAAAGTAGATCATTACTGTAACACTTGAAGCAAATATCAGGCAAGAAGCTGAAAGAAATACAGAACATAAATACAAAAGTGATTTACAGCCCTAGAAATCACACCAAACACCTGTACGCGCCCTTTTAACTGGTCTAGTAAGAAACCATAGAACGATGTGGATGGCAGCGGACAGAGAAGTTTCATAACTTAAAAGCAAAGTCAGCTCATAAAGATGTTACCAACCTGTGAAATGCATTCTCCATTTGCTCCACTGCTCTCCTTTGCCTTACGTTTACTCATTGCAGAAGAATCTTTCAATAAGAAAGAGAAGACAAAAGTTTTACTAAATTTCTGTTTCCCAAATAACGATGTCGGTCAGAAACTCTACTTAGGTGTCAGTAAACTAAATTTAATACAGCAAACACAAGGCAGCTGCTCATTTGTAAGAACATACGCCGTAACGAACATCATCTCTTAACTGATAAAGAGGTAGCAGTTCACCTTACTAGTAAATAAAAACCAAAAACGACTGAAGCACTTTTAGTTCATTTCTGATTCAACGAAATCCACGTTTACCTACAACTTCTGAGCAGCATTTGCTTTAGAGTGCTTTCCAACGCTATGCAAACAGTACCTAACGCAACTGATAAGAGTTTTTCATCAAGTTTTCTGCCAAGTTTTCCTAGCGAGTTCTTAACAGCAGCGACGACGCTCGCGAGCCTAGAACGACACGCCACGTTCCGCCCAGACGGCCGAGCCACACGCGAGCTACCTCGCGCAGCGCAGCTCACGCATTGGACACGTCCTTGTGAACAACCACACCGATACCCCTCAGCTCAGGGGTACCAACAAGCGACGGCTGCACGCCTCCTCACCAGCCACCGAGTCTCATCCGGTCATTTTAGCCACGCTGAAGATGGTCTGAAAAAACGCATTTACGGTGCTGTAGCTGGAATGAGCTACAGGCACGCGGTAAAGCGCTCAGTCACGACATTAAAGTTTTTACTGGAACAATCTGCTATCCGTGTTTATAGCCGTGCAGCTCGTAACGCCAGCCGCAGTGCCTCTGCAGACAAGCAGAGCGAACACCAGCCCTCCTGCCCTGCGCCAGCAGGAAGCCTCCAGGCCTTGCTCTGCCACCGTTTACTCTGATTTTACCGCGGCCGTTCCCCTCCTCCCCCGGTTCCGCTCCTTCCCCGGCGAGGCCAGCACCGCTCGGGCCCCCGCCACGGCCGC